CAGTAAAGAAGTTTTTCTTTATGCCCAGCCTGAAATGGTCATACAGGAGTTTGTGACCGTTTGACCCTCCAAATTGCCCAAATATTAGGTTGTGAAGGACCATTTATTGTAAACCTGGTTGTACTGCTTTAAAATTATGGCTGTAGAACTGCACAGAGGGATTGAAGATGGAATTTTCAAGTGACTAAGGTGGTTAGCTGATCTCGAATAGGAGTTGGGAACCTAACTCAGCCTATTTTGAAACTAGACATTTAGGACTTAAAAACCATGGATACCTATAGACATACTTGTTTGTATCATAATTAGAATGTGTTGGAGCAGACTCAGTTAATTAGAATGCTTCAGCACCACCTCACCATCACGTGCCTTAAGCCCCCCGTGTGTTTCAAAATGGCTGTGGGGGTGCTTTATCTAAACTTTGTTGAATGAGTTAGTGCCCTGCAACCATTTTGAAACATGGGGCAGTTGGGGTGGGGGGTGCTTAATACATGTGATGGTGAGCCATTTTAATTAGAGTGGCTGTCCTGACTTTCTTCCCCTTCCCTACTTCCGAGCACGTGTATAGGCAGCCCATGGCTCTACCCACCACCTCCTGCCTCAGCAAAAATAAGTCTCATGAATTGTCTAAATCTCTTGCAGAAATGCATCTCATCTGCTCTCTCCACTACATTAATGGGAGATTTAAAATGTTGTTGCATTTAAACATTTATAAACCCCTTCCTTATTTAGCTAGAACCACTTAGAACCTGATAAGAAAAATAAAAAACTTCCCAGAAAAACAAACAAACATAACCAAAGCTAAATTACCCAGGTATTTGTGTGAGATTCATTTTGATGTGACATTGTTCTGGTGAGTTGTGCAGTTAAATAACTTTTTTGTAATATCGGAGGAGCTACAGCATCAAAGTGCTGGAAACAAACGTCAAAAAGCACATGCTGCTGTCAGCCAGGGCCTGCTCCTGATAGTCAATAGCGAGGTGGTTAGAGCACTAGGTCCCAGCACAAGTATTTGGATAATCGCATGGCTCCCTGAGAAGGAAAATCAAAAGGTCATTTTCAGAGTTATGGTGGTGGAATATTCCTGTGCTGTGAGGATTTGGACTGAAAGTCACCAGCCTGCAGCAAGCAGGCTTGCTTATAAAGCTGCAGTCAGTGGGGCAGAAGTTGCCAGCTCCACCGTGTGCCTCCATCTCAAGCACATAAAACACTGCTGGAATAAGCGATCTCTTGGAAACCAAAAGGCACTTCCTCAAGTGCACCCACTATAGCAGGGCTCTTTTTCCTTTCTGGCACATGTAGACAGACTAGGGCTGCGCGACACTTCAGCAGCCGATTCAATTTGGAGATTTGACCCGATTCAGGGACCAAATTTCCAAATCAAATTGGGACACCAATTAAAAGCTCCAAATTGATTTGATACATCCGAATCAATTTGGAAGATTCGGCGATTCAGCCAAAGACTAAACAGGCAGCTGACACAGCTGCCTCCAGCTGGTAAGTCTGTTGGGGAAGTGGGAGGAAGGGATTGGGGCTGGAACAAGCTGCCCCACCAGGGCAGGGGGGCACGGGACTCAGGGAGGGGGGTGGAGGGGTACAGGATGCGGGTGCGGCTCGCTTGGGGTGGAAGAGAGCAAGTGGCAGTAGGGCATAGTTTCCACTCCTGGTGCTACTGTGGCCGAATCCTGCACCCCACCCGAAAGCCAGCTGGGCAGCACCTGCCCCCTCTAAGTCCCCCCTCACCAGCAGCACCTGCCCACCCCACCCCACCCCAGCTGGGCAAGCGGTGGCAGCACCTGAGACCATGCTCCCAGCGCTGATGTAGGCACAGCAGCACTGGGAGCGGGGGCTACGCCCTGCTGCCACTTGCCCAGCTGGTGTGGGGGGGGGCACGAGATGCAGGCATGGCAGCCACATGCACTAATCTCAAGCATATCTGGTGACAGCAAACATGGTCCTGGGTCTTCCCCCCTGATGCTTGAACTCAGCGTTTCTTTCTTCTCTAAAATGAGCAAGGGTAAGCAAACACCCCTACTTCCCCCAACCTCTGGGAAGAAAAGCCTGTTTTCCTATCCCAAATAAATGAGAAATCCAAAATTTGACTTGGGTACCCCTCATCAGGTACACTGTGACACTGACAACCTGAAGAGGCCAATAGTACAGCTTTGCATCCCATATGAAATGTACTAGCCATTCTCTTGTGTGACAAAAGCCACTCAATATGCATGCAGCATGTGAACCACTGCACTAAGAGCTTCTGCAATTTAACAAACAGCATAATGAAAACAAGGTCATGCCAACACTGCAAATATAATCACTCCTGACCTGTAACTGGTCTTTTCTATTGTAACCTATGCACTGGCTCTAAAATCAGAGCTGGCACTAACAAGGATTTATCCACACTACCACTTGAACAGCAAACAGGCTTCTGCTTCTACTTCTGCTTTGCTTGAAGTATTATTTGAATCACCATTTTGCAAACATTCTCTTAACGGAGGCTTTGCTGAGATACAGGATTTTCCTGTCTCAGAACCAAGGGTTCTCTCATGACTTGACAGCATTTATTGTAGTGGTTTTTTTAATTTTTGTACATTCAGGTAATAACTGACATCCTAATAGAATGATTAAGAGATAAGATGCTTTAATTGTACCACATTTAATATAAACATCTATTATTTAACTGTTTACCCTGGAGTAAACAAAATCAAAACAAATGCTACCTGTGAAAATTACAAGGTTTGCCATCTTTAACTCTTGTAATTTTGTTAGATTTATACTCAGTTCATCACTACCATCATCATCACCACCATTATTGTTTTAAAAATAAACCTCAACCATTTATCATGTAAGCATTTGGTAATACACAAACATGCATGCCTGAAAAAATAAAATGATGCATGTCCATATCATTCCAGTCCATGGGGAGTCGATTATCAAACAGGCTATAAGGCCATCATAGAGCAGACCATAGCTCCCATCACCATGGAAATATATTTTCTCTTGTACTAACAGCTTACTCATTTACTTAAAGTAGATATTTGTACAGAACATCACACCTATTAAAAGCCCCCTTGGTTGTATTCTAACACGTTCTCACATAAATAGCCATTTCATTCTGGTTACAGGCTCTAGAGCCTACAAGTACAATGACAACAGAAAACTGAAACAAAAACAAGTGTAAGAAGGATTTTGTAGCTGTGTGAAATGCTCCGGAGTGGTGAAGCTCAGTGGTAACTGAGTGGCTACTTTGTGAATTGTAGTAAATACTACTAAATTCTCTTCAATGAGTTTTCAGAAGATGGAAAGTCATTATGACATTTTGGTGTTTGCATCTGGGGCCCTGATCCCATAACAGTCCCACAGATTTCAAGCATAGAGCAGCATAGCTATGCAGCTGTATATGGCGTTTTCAGGATTGGGACCTTGAAGTGTCCATGTGGGTTAGGATTTTCTTACCTGTTAGTTTGCTTCCCAACTAGATGCATGTTTTTAAGCACAACTGATGGTTCTGTTTCCCCCCACGTCTTTGTTGTTTAAAAGAACAGTTTAACATAAGAGACACCTAGGCAAGCATTTGAATAGTACAATTTTAGTTATAGAGGTTTTATTACTCTTAGCTTTCAAATTTTAAAAATATAAACTCTCTAAAGTGCATCATCAAACTCACAATGTATAGAAGCTATCTGAGATCAGAGCAATGTGTCATGTAAACAGAAGTGGCAAAGCACTCAGGAAATGCTACAGTCACATCAGATTAGAAGGAAATTATTCGGTCCCCTAAGCACTGTCCCATCGAGACTTGTCAGGGTCAACAAAATGGTTCAATTATCAGGACACCATGGAAACAGTGTTAAAAACCCAAACCCAAATACATTTCTTGTTGTCCCATAATTTGTGCAGCAAACCCAGCTGAGAGTGAAAGGCTCCATATGGACCATAAGGACTGCCACTGTCATTCCGGAGTAAGACAGTAAGAACCTGATTCAGTAAAGCTCTTAAGCACTTGCTCAAGTTAACTCCTACCCAGCAGAACATTAACCACCAGCTTAGCTTTAAGCACAAGCTTACTTCAGTTGGATTTAGGCACAGGCTTAAGTGATTCATTGAACTGAGGCTTAATAGTACTGAAGTCAAACAGCAATATTGACTTCTCAATAACCCATCTTTGTTTCTCAGCCAAACCATTGTACTACTAACAATGATGGTTAAGCCCCAAATGCCCAATCCTCCCATATTCCCAGTGAATTGAAATAGAACAAGGTGGGAGCACGAAGGCAAAACTATGGGTTTGCTAGAAAGCAGTTTTCCCAGTCCCATTCTGGACACTATCAGGGAGTTGGCCAATTGGGCCTGTATTTTAAAAGCTCAACTGACGGTGCAGGTTTTGATTTGTATTTTGGAAATAGAGCTAGCTAAAGATGATGGTTTTCTGAGATACAGGAGTGCTCCCTACCCCCAAGTCAATGGAGGCTGTGTGTTCAACACTTTGGAAAACTAGCCCCTAGATTGGGCACTCAAATACTAGAGACCACATTGGAAAATATAGACTTCAGTCTCTTCAACTTCTGCTGGTTTTTTGGTGGATGGGAAAGTTCTGTAACCTAAATTAAATGCATTTTATGACTGGTAAAACCCCAGAATCAAGCTAAAACAAACAAAACAACCGACCCACCTTGCTTACACAACCTCTCACAAATGGGTGTCAGCTTTGGACCCATCTTTAACATACTACTTCTCAGGGGCATTATGTATTGCCTAATAGAGGTGTAGACTATTGGTGGAGATGTGGGAGAGGATGGCAGAGACGTTTCTTTTTTTAAAAGGTTATGGCATACAGAAGAGGCCTTATAAGAGGCCTTATAATTGTTCTGTATCCATTGTGGCAAGAACTAGCGTAACAGTGACTGGGGGAGGTGGGGGACGATTGGCTTAAGGAACACAAACAAACTGAAAAGTATTACAGGGCCAGATTGTCCTTAAAAGCATGTGCAGTGTAGGTGACTTGTTTGAGGGCTAGCCACAACTGCAATGGCTCCACTCAACTTCCATTGCATTAGCTATTGGATGGGTTTAGGATATGCCAGCATGCTCCACCAACATAGCAAGGGATGGCATCAGAATTCTCACCCCAGTTCCTTTAGCAGTGCTGCCCTGCACACTCTGGGCTGTGTATATCTTCAAGTTCAAGTCCTTAAGAATAAAGGAGGGAAACTGTAGAGCACAAGGGCTTGTTACAATAGAAAGGGGAGCCCTAAACCATACTCCTTTCCCTCCCTCATTCAGCAAGTGTCTAACGAGCATCTGATACAAGTTTCTCTAACAAACCAGAGTGAAAACTCTAAAGTGTTGACTTGAAAATGGCAAGTGCTGCATCCTGACCTCAGCCATAAGGCACTTCAAAGGTCAGAAACTGAGAGAGAGATTTTCTCTTCTGGCAGCATTCTCTGCTCTGTACCCGTCAATCAGTGCTGCAATTCATTTGGTCTTGCCATCTAGATGCATAAAGGGACAACGTTTAAAGATAGAGTATACATACGACAAATGTATGGACTGTCTAGTTCACTATTTAATGTCAGCATGATAACAGAAGCTGGGTGACACATACAAGTTAATATGTGCAGATCGTCAATCTGATTATTAAATTTCTGAACCAGGAGATCCATGGTGATAAAACAGATAATTCATTTGATCATGTCACCAAAACTACTACAATGCAACTGGATTCAAACTGCTGCCAGGAGAAGCTCCCTTTTGACCTCATTGCCCACTCACAATCTTGATGTCAAAGTGCTAACTTCCAATTTGAAGTTCTAGTAAGCACACTGCTGAATTCCTTTGCTATGCAAATTAGTTGCAACTATTATCTAGCCCAACAGAAAACGTGGGTAAGAAAACCCAGAAAAATAAACAGCCCTGGGAAAGGCCACAGCAAAGGCCAAATGCAGCAGGCAGGGTGCAGTGACAGTTCTTCACCAGTGAAATGGTGCAAGTCAAAAGGCTAAAATTCCAAAACTACGGGTAGCTTGAGAGCCTGAGCAAATATTACTGCAGCTACAAAAGAACAGTCTTCGTGCTTCCCAACATCTTAGATCAAACTCGTTTGGTAAACCAGTGGACGTCACTTGGCATTTCACTGCTAATTCAGACTAGTTTGCCTCTTGCTATGGTACTTTGGAAAAAATAATTCATCTGACCGATATTCTAAACAGTACAGGATTTGAAAGTGAATCAAAGCAAAGGACCCTCCTAAATGCAGTCTCTGAGCACAGCATCATCTCTCTCTCGCTGGCAAGCTCCAGTTTGGACGATGGGCCTGGAGGCAGGGTGGATGATAGGCAAGTCCAAAGAATGACTGAAGCCACACTTCCTCCCCCTCCCACCTCCAGAAATGGCTGTTCAGTTCTTGGACAGCTGCTAAGCCTCTTGTTGTCAGGCTCCTGCTGCGTTCTTCATGTGATCATTCTTTTGGCTCGGTCTCTTCTTAACCTAGATGCAAGGTCAGATCACCTTCTTTACATGATCCTGGAGCTAATATCTCTTTTACTGATCAGGACCTCCAGCAGCCGCAGCTTTGCCTTCATCTGCTTGTATTCATTGTAATCCTCAGCCATAGGAGTGCGATCTTCTTTCTGGACATATCTGAAAAAGAGCCAAGAAGGGGACATGAGTGATTTCTGAAAGAATGTTACTTGCCTCGGCTGTGAGATACGTCTTTCTTTTCTAGTCAACAAGAGAAAAAATGAATTGCTGTTTAACATCCAGAGGGGAAAGAGGGGAACAGAAACTCATGCTATAAGGTGGCATGAAACACAAGACTCTCCAGAGGCAAAAATGATGATGATGATGATGATCCTGGTAGCCTCAAGTCAAGAGATATTTCTATTTTTGATCAAGAACTTGTCCCCTGTTCTATTGAAACTTTCATGTTCTTCTTTCACAGCAGCTTGGGTGGTGGGATCTGGGTCACAAAATTTGGGAAGAGATTTCATTTCAAAGCTGCTCAGATATTTTAGAAGATATTTCTGTGGATAGTGGACTGGGACAAGAGGGCTGGTCAAAAATGCATAAATAGATTCCTTTATCATGTGCGTGTCCCCAGTGACTAACGGGTCTAAAATGGTGAAAACTGGGGTGCGGTGATGGAGAGCTTACTGTACATGCATCTGGGAGCCAAGACCAGACCTCTTAGGTGTGAAAGGGGGCGAGACTCCCTCCTAATTCCCCCCTGCATGTCACCAACAAATGTGTGTTGAGCTGTGGTAGGGGGAGGGGCGAGTTGGGAGAAGCTTTTGAAAACTTTCTATTAGGTTAAAAGTATAAAAATCACTTTGGCGTGTAAGAGCCATTGCCTTTCAATAGAAATTAAATGGGCTTAAACAGTGTGTGGTTCGTAGAGGTAAAATTTTGAAAGGCACTTAGGTTTTTAAGTCACTGGAAGGACTCTCACAGACTTCAATGGGCTTTGGATTAGGCACGTTAAGGATTATGACCACTATTCTATAGGCTGTACTAGTGCAATGGAGTCCCATTTTTGGCTGGTCCTTGGATTACTGCAATTAATTCACTGAAGAACACTTCAGGCACTTCCTATCTTCACAGCTCTTTGCAGACCCTATGCATTATTAGTTGTAGTTACTGTTAGGGCTAGATGGATGGATAAGAAAAGAATTACCTTCCATTCTGACGGAAAAAATTATCTTCAAAGTCTCTCAATTTTTTTCTGATCCGCTTTTTGTCTTCCCTGACTTCTTGAAGCTGCTCTAAGAGTTCTGGCCTGTAGGGTTAACATATTATATTATATGCACGTAAGTGTGGAACACAAATTACAAAGAACACTGAAACCAAAGAGGTACAGTACATCTTCAAAAAAATTATAAGAGCCTAACCTTGAAGACACTCCCTAGCAACTCTGTGAATAGCATAATGTTCTGTGTTATGGATTTAATTCAGTAAAATCCTTAAACTTCTATTTAGTTTACACCTACAAGTAATCCCATTCCTAATCACTAAGGGTGCCTGTACATGTGCAGGGAGGCTGCTCCGATGCATTTGCAATAACAGCGTGTTGGAGCAGACTCAATTAATCAAGTCTGCTGCAGCATGCTAATTAGCATGCTCCAGCCAGCCTCCACTTCTCATGTATCAGTGTCCCCACACGTCAAAATGGTGGTGAGGGCACTTTAACTAAAGCTCGCTCAATGAGCTTTAAAGTATCTCTGCCGCCATTTTGAAACAGGGATGCTGATACACAAGACATGCCGGGCACTTTAATTAGAGCAGCTCTCAGAGCTAGTCTAAAGTGCCATCCCCTCGACCCCCAGAGCACATGTAAAAATGCCCAAAAGTAGTTAGATAAGGTTCCTATGTCCTTAGACCAACACAGCTACAACCACACCCTTTAAAGTAGTTAAGCATGCATTAAACTTTTACGACTGCAGTCCTACTGATTTCAATGTAGCGAAGCAGACAAAACTGCCATCCCAAAACCTGGGTATGAATTAAAAAAACAATGCATTTGTCACAAATAAATGAGCACATGGCTGAAAAGCGACTTTCCAAGCTGGTCTAAAATAAACTTGACATACATAGATGCAGCATGAAGGTTAGACAGCCCCAAGTCCTGGCCACTCTTTGAAGGCATTTTATCATCCACTGGGGAAATGAAGCCATCAGCATCATCTTCTAGCTGATCCAAGAAGCTACGCATGCTGAAATCCGTTTTCACTGTGATTGTGAAATCTGGTTTCCCATTGCTGTCATCTTCTGAACCTTCCTCTTCCTCCTACAGAGAGAGACAGTGCCCCCAGATCAAAACATGCCAATACTTCCTTCAGCTGAAAAATGTTTTATTATTTCACCACATGCACTGGCATATAGACACAGAAAGAGGTGGACAGACAGAGCAAGCACCTGAACTGTTAAGATTTAAAATGAGCAAGAATATCAGCACTAAAACTCCCGTCACAAAACACTGTTAGGTGTTACAACTACCACAGACTAAGCTGTTAGTAAGATGCAGTAAGTGTTGGAATTAAAGCAGCGAAAATCTCAGTGGAACGTGTGCTGAAGCATGTTGTTGAACTGGTGACAAACAGAGCCATTTCCTTTAATGTCATGCCCATTTCAATTTTAGTATTTTTATTACTTCTGTAAGTGGGGTCTCCCTTTCAAACCTATGTCTCCTAGTACTTGATTCATTGGAGAAGTGACCAAACCACATTCAGAAGTGGCATAATTCCATACAGATCTCTCAAAATCAATGATTTATAAATTCACGCATTTACAGGAGGTCAGGACTTGGCCTCCAGTCTTGTGTTTATGACACAGATCTTTGCCAGGGAAATAGAATATCTAGTAACAGACAAGAGTTACTACTCAAGTGGAGAGCTGAGAAGGGCCATTGCCTGAGAAGGGAGAAACTAAATAAAAATCCCAGAGAAAGCTGAAAACATCTCAAGAAAAGCTGCAGGGAA